AAACGCACTTTAGGAAAATAGAGATTAAGTTCTGGAAGACGGTGCAGTGTAGGGGAGAAGACACACGCTTAGCACACACCCCATGAGGTAAGGTCTTTGTGTCAGTGAATACACCCCGGCCTAGGAGCCCTGTTTGCCAAAGAAGCCGTATTAAACATGAGGACCTGTTACACCATCCATACGAGGGGTCATGAGGCTGTGCAGGTCCGGTGACCAGTGGCCTCCTAGTGGTTATTGGAGACAGGAAATGGCTATAATAAGCATTTTTTTCTGTTAATTCTCCTCCATGAAATAATTGATAACATGTCAAGTTTTTCCTTTCAGACATTCATCCTATCCGTGTTCTTAATAGAAAGATATTCTCAGCCTGCTCAACTGTGGCTCGCAGCAAAGCAATTATTTATTTTAAAATTTGCATTTAAGCCAAGCGGCATTGGAATTCATCAAGGCACCATCTCTGATATTACAAAACTGAGGGCAACACTATCTCAGCCCAGATCTGCGGAGCGATGCCTCACACGGATGACAGCCAACTTTACTGCACTGGCCACTGAGATACGATCGCTGACAACATTAACCAAAGACACACTCCGCGTGTGGCCTTGTCACCAGCGAAGTCGGCCTCGGGCCACAGGGAGCCGTCTGGGCACGTGTCTGTCTTGTTAGGTCACGGGGTTGGGGATTCTAAATAAAGCAGCAACGTGCACTTCCGACAGCACGGCTTACAACACGCCGCGCCAGCCTCGCAGAGGTCAGCGGGGAGGCCCTCGCTCTCCTTCAGCAAAGCCACTGCTTCCAGAACCGGCCAGAGTCCAAGAGCTCTCTGTAGCCCAGGGCGCACTCCCTGGGTGACCTTTAGTTAGCGGTAAAACGGAAGCCGACAAGCCAGAGAGGACGCAATGTCGCTGCGGGGCTGGGATCGGCACGCGGAGCCTGCAGAGCTGCCAATCGCCTTTATTGTTCAGTCGCTTCTATTTCAGCCGCAGCGCCTGCTGGGAGGCAGTTTGGAAATAACTTGGCCGGTGCGTTACTTTGTCAGGTTCTGCCCCGGCCGCCCTGCTTTGGCGCAGGCGCTCATTACTGCCCATTACTGGCCATTACTGCCCTGCACTTGGTCCCCAGCCCGCACTCCCCTCCAGCAGGCGGGGCTAGCCTGGGAGAGCGAGGTGGAGGGATTTCATTAAGACCACTGCCGTGTGCCCTGGCCGGTTTGGCTCAGTGGATAGAGCGTCAGCCTGCGGACTGCAGGGTCCCAGGTTCAATTCCAGTCAAGGGCACATGCCCAGGTTGCCAGCTTGATCCCCAGTAGGGGGCATGCAGGAGGCAGCTGATCAATGATTCTCTCTCATCTTTGATGTTTCTATCTCCTTCTCCCTCTCCCTTCCTCTCTGAAATCAATAAAAATATTTTTTTAAAAGACCACTGCTGCTGTTTTCCCTGGTAGCCAGGGCTACAATGAGGCAGCCCCAGCAGGACAGGCCCTGCGGTCAGCCTTGATCCAGGTCTGTGCCACCTGGGACGCACCACGGAGTTCTGGCTCCTGCGAGGTCCCTTTGGCTCCATTTCCACTTGAACTCCGGGACCCAGAAGGCAGCCGAGCAGTCCTCAGTGTAGGAAGGAGGAATGGCCCTGGGGCGAGGTGCCTGACCCCACCCGGGGCTCCTGTTCCCAGAGCGGTAGCCGGGCATTCAGGCAGCCACTTCTCGGCCTCTCAGCAGAACCTGTGTCCACCAGCCTTAGTCTGGGCTGCAAAATGCTAACATTGATGTTAGAATTAAACTAGAGGCCTGGTGTACGAAATAGTGCAGGAAGGGCGGGGTCCCTCAGCCGGGCCTGCACCCTCTCACAATCCGGAACCACTGGTTCCTAACCGCTGGCCTGCCTGCCTGCCTGCCTGATGTCCCTAACCACTCTGCCTGCCTGCCTGATTGCCCCTAACCACTCTGCCTGCCTGCCTGATTGCCCCTAACCACTCTGCCTGCCTACCTGATTGCCCCTAACCACTCTGCCTGCCTACCTGATTGCCCCTAACCACTCTGCCTGCCTACCTGATCGCCCCTAACCACTCTGTTTGCCTGCCTGATCACCTGAACCACTCTGCCTGCCTGATCACCCCTAACCGCCTCTGCCTCGGCCCCTGCCGCCGCAGCTTCGTCCAGAAGGACGTCCGGAAGGTTGTTTGGCTGTCCAGGCTAATTAGCACATTACGCTTTTATTATTATAGACATAAAACAGCGCTGAGTTTTCTGAAAGTCGTAAGGAGGGTATAAATAAATGTAAAGTAAATAAGTTTGCTAAGAAAAGTGCAAGCTTGCAGGAGGCATGGGTAACCTAATGTCGGAACAAACAGTCTCTGCGCGCACAGAAGGACCGGTTAATACAGCACAGGCCGAAGGCACACAGTCACCATTGGCGCCCCGTCGCTCACTAACAGAGCCTTGCATGTGCATGAACAGACGGCCGCTCGCTAAGCTCACAGCGCTCTGTGCAGACTCAGAGATGATGCCACTGTGTGTATGGATCTAGAACTCGGCACACAGTCCTCTGGCTCCACCCCATTGGCCTGAATAGAGTCTCAACTCTATGTACACACACCTCTGTCCACGCGACCATGCCCCGAAGGAGCTCACAACCTAGCTCAGACATGCACGCACTCCGGGAAAGTCAGAAACAGTAGCAAAGTCTGTTACTGGCTCAAGAAGCCAAAGCTAGCCCTGGTCGGGTGACTCAGCTGGTTGGGGTGTCATCCCGTAAACCAAAAGACGGTGGGTTCAATTCCAGGTCAAGGCACACACCCAGGTTACAGGTTCTATGCCCGGTCTGGTTGGAGCATGTACAAGAGGCAACTGAGGAAGCCATAAAAATTCTAGAAAAATCCAAAGGCAACAAAATCTCAGACATATGCCGAAGCAATTTCTTCGCCGATACAGCTCCTAGGGCATTGGAAACTAAAGAGAAAATGAACAAATGGAACTACATCAAAATAAAAAGCTTCTGCACAGCAAAAGAAACCATCAACAAAACAACAAGAAAGCCCACTGCATGGAAAAACATATTTGCCAATGTTATATCTGCTAAGGGCCTAATCTCCAAAATTTATAGGGAACTCATACAACTTAACAAAAGGAAGATAAACAATCCAATCAAAAAATGGGCAAAGGATCTAAATAGACACCTTTCAAAAGAGGACATTCAGAAAGCCAAGAGACATATGAAAACATGCTCAAAGTCACTAATCATCTGAGAGATGCAAATCAAAACAACAATGAGGTACCATCTCACACCTGTCAGACTGGCTATCATCAACAAATCAACAAACGACAAGTGCTGGAGAGGATGTGGAGAAAAAGGAACACTCATGCACTGCTGGTGGGAATGCAGACTGGTGCAGCCACTATGGAAGACAGTATGGAGTTTCCTCAAAAAACTGAAAATGGAACTCCCATTTGACCCTGTGATCCCACTTCTAGGAATATATCCCAAGAAACCAGAAACACCAATCAGAAAGGATATATGCACCCATATGTTCACAGCAGCACAATTCACCATAGCTAAGATCTGAAAACAGCCTAAGTGCCCATCAGTAGATGAATGGATTAGAAAACTGTGGTACATCTACACGATGGAATACTATGCTGCTGTAAAAAAGAAGGAACTCTTACCATTTGCAACAGCATGGATGGAACTGGAGAGCATTATGCTAAGTGAAATAAGCCAGTCAATGAAGGAAAAATACCACATGATCTCACTCATTCATGGAAAATAAAGACCATTATAAACTTATGAACAAAAATAGATACAGAGGCAGAGCTGCCTCATACAGATTGTCAAACTGCAGCGGGAAGGCCGGGGAGGGTTGGGGGGCAGGAGGGAGGGGGTAAGAGATCAACCGAAGGACTTATATGCATGCATATAAGCATAACCAATGGACATAAGACACTGGGGGGTAGGGGAGGCCAGGGGATTGTCAAGGGCGGGGGAAAAAAGGAGACATATGTAATACCCTTTGTAATACTTTAAGCAATAAAACTAAAAAAATAAATAAATAAATGAATAAAGAGGCAACTGATTGATGTTTCTCTCCCTCTCTCTCTCTCTCTCTCTCTCTTCCTCATCTCTCTCTAAATCAATAAACATATCCTCAGATGAGGATTAAAGAAGGAGGAGGAGGAGGAGGAAGAGGAGGAAGATGGGAGGAGGACAAGGAGGCAAAGCTATCACAGAGCTACATGTGTCTGTGGGTCATGTGGGGCCGCAGAGCAAGTGCCCTTGTTTCCAGAGGCGGGACGGTCACTCGGTTGGCACGGTCACTCGGTTGGCACGGTCACTCGGCCGCAGAAGGAGGAAGCCTTTACTCGGATGAAACCTTGAGAAAAATGGGAGGAGTTAAAGGGAGCAGCTGGGATGAGCCGTCAGACAGGGTGAAGACTAAACAGCATCCTTGGACCAGTCGGGTGTCAGGGTGTCCATGTGTGAGACCCACACCCAAAAAGTTTTTGAGGTGCCTTTTAACAAAAGACATAAACACAATGAAAAGCATTAAAATCAGGGTACACACACACAACCCCCCACACACATATCTGCAACGCCAGAGGGAGATGTGTATTGTGTGTGGGAGTTTGTATATGTGTATGTGGTCTGTATGTGACATGATATATGTGTATGAGATGCTGTGTGTGTGAGTGTGTGACATGGCTTATGTGTGTAGGTGGTGTGTGAATGTGTGTGTATGTATGTGGTGTGTATGTGTGACATGGTGTGTATGTAGATGGTGTGTGTGTATAGGTAGTGTGTGTGTGTGTATGACATGATGTATGTGTATATAGGTGTGTGTGAGAGATGGTGTGTGTGTGATTTACTGTAGGCTTACTGACTGATGACCTTGAGCTGGGAGGTGAAGGGTGCAGAGCTGGAAGCTAGGGGCTGCAGGGGAGGAGCTGGAGGGAGCAGCTGGCATGGACACCTGTGGAGGGAGGGACATGGCAAGGGCAAAGGCGTGGTCATTGGAGCATCTTCAGGCTCCACAAAGCCTCTAAGGTCCGCACAGGAGCCTGGAGTACAGTGTCCGCAGAGGTGCCCACAGAGGTGCCTTCAGGGATGCCTGCAGGGGTGCCCACAGAGGTGCCTGCAGGGGTGCCCACAGAGGTGCCTGCAGGGGTGCCCACAGAGGTGCCTGCAGGGGTGCCCACAGAGGTACCCACAGGGGTGCCCACAGAGGTGCCCGCAGGGGTGCCCACAGAGGTGCCCGCAGGGATGCCCGCAGGGGTGCCCACAGAGGTGCCTGCAGGGGTGCCCACAGAGGTGCCTGCAGGGGTGCCCACAGAGGTGCCTGCAGGGGTGCCTGCAGGGTGCATATAGCCAGGCCTCTGTGTCCCTGCATCACTGCAGGGGCTGCCAAGAAAAGGAGTGAGTCTGCAGTTGAGACAAGTGCTGACAGCCCTCCTGGCATCTGGGGCAGCAGGCCCTCGTGCAGGGAATCGGGTGGCCACTCCACAACCCGTAAAATAGACAAGACACACACCACCACCCCCTGTAATGAGACTCTCACAGGAAGTTCCCAGCATGTCCGATGTCACTGACCTTTAACCTACAAAAGGCACTCAAATGCTGATCAAGGTCACACAGCCTCATGGTGGGGGGTGGATTTTCTTTTCTTTCTTTTTTTAATTGATTTGAGAGAGAAAGAGACACTGACCTGCTGGTCCACTTATTGATACATTCATTGGCTGATTCTTACATGGCCCTGGCCGGGGTCAAACCCTCAGCCGTGGAGTATCAGGCGATGCCCACCATCTGAGCCGCCGGTCGGGCTACCCTGAGTTCTGAATGTCAAATCCACCGCACGTCCCTGGGGTAAATCCCTGACCACGAAGAACTCCGAGTGTAGATACATTTTTAATTCAGATTGCTGACTCTTGTTAGATTATGTGCATCCAGGTTCATGACGGCTAGTGGTCGGTGCCTCCTGTGTTGTCTGTCTCGGCTGTGGGTGCCACGCAGAGCTGAAGTGGTGCTGTGTCTTCCTTAGATGTGGGCAGAATTCACCAATAAGGCGACACAGCTTTCTTCACGTGAAGGTTTGTAATTACAAATGCAATTTGTTTTTAATCGATGCAGGGACATTCACTGCCTCCTCCTCCCTGAGTGTGTTCTGATAGTCTTGCCAGGAATTTGCCCGTTTTATCAAAGTTGAGGCATTCAGGACATAAGCTGTTCCTAATGTCCTCAGACCCTCTGGATGCTGCTGACCCCGCCGGGAGTCCTCGCTCAGCCCCGTGCTGTAGTCAGGCCTCGTCTTTATTTCCCAACCAGCGCTGCTAAGGAGACTTGCCAAGGGGGCTGATCCCTGAGAACTGACTTCCCCATCATTGATTTCCTCTATTGTTTATCTGCCTTCTGCTCATTAATTTCTATATTATTGTCCCCTTTCTCCTGCTTCATTTGTGTTTCGTTTGCTTTTCGTTGTTGCTGTGGTTGTTCATCCTCACCTGCAGATATATTCCCATTGACTTTTAGAGACAGTGGGAGGGAGAGAGGGAGGAGAGAGAGACACATCGATTGGTTGCCTCCCGCACACACCCCCACTGGGGCCTGATCGAACCTGCAACCCAGGTACAAGACCTTGGCAGGAATCGGACCCACGACCCCTCAGTGCACCGGCCGAGGCTCCCACCGCATGGGCCAGGGCTCTCTTCTCTCACTGGCTCGTGTGCGCGGAAAAGCCTGATGGGACGTGATCGCCGTGTTACACTGGGAGCGTCCGTTTGCCGCGCATCCCTGCCTCGTTCACAGTCCTGCGGCAGAAAAAGCTATGGCCTCCCCAAGGGGACGTTCCCTCTCAGGCCCAGGCTAACACGCTCCGTGTCGATTACCACCATGCGTGCTCTACGGCATGCAGCCTGCGCCTCCTGCGCCTCCACTCCGAGGCGTGTCCTGGTGACCTGCCTGTCGCCTTCCACCCAGGACACCCAGGCTTCCCTTAAACGTTTGTTGTAGGCAACTGTACATGTGAGGATGTTTGTTACAGGAAATCATGCCCGTTCTCTCAGCATCATGAACATCTGCCACAAAAATAAAATTAGCTGACTGCCTTGTTATAATTAACCCAGGCCCTTCGACCTAACCAATGTTTTAAAGAAATCACCTCTGAACGCGCTGAATACATTCCCTTGCGAGCTTGCAAAATATCTCGGCGGACGGGTCCTGAGCTCTCTTCTTGCCGCCTGGACAGTGAAGTTAACATGGAGGCTGAAGCGTTCGTTTCTGAAAGCCACGGATCTCCTTCCTCTCAGCCCAGCCTAGCGAACAGGCACCGGGGAAAGCACCTTGGCCGAGGGCCGCGACCCCTGTGGTGGGAGCTGTAGGTGCCCCGGGAGCTGCAGGCACTCCGGGAGCTACAGGGCTTTAGGACACACCGGCCATGTCCGTGTTCTCTGGTCTCTGCCGGGCTCGCCGGGGCGCACAGTGGGGCTGGCCTCTCTCCCTCCGTGCTGCTTGCCTGGCAGCGTCAGAAAGTCTTCTGGTGCCAAAAACCCCGAGGTTTCCTCTTTGCCATTAAGGGTGGCGTCCCAGGGATACTGAGCCTGGAGACAGCAGGCAGGCCCTGCTCGTGGAGATGAGAGGTTAGCTGGACACGCAGGCAGACAGGGCAAGGTCCAGTGGGAAACAAAGCCAGGTGGCACACAGGCAGGGCAGACACGTCAGTTTGAAAAGCCTAATCACAGGACCCAACCAAGCAGAAATAATCAAATGTTTCTGGACTCAAAGCCAGAGGCATGGGAAACCAAGGGAGGGCCTGCAGCAACAAGGTGTAGGAATACATAGGAACAGGGAGAGTCCCGCACAGGAACAGGAAAGGACACATAGACACAGGGAGAGTCCCGCACAGGAACAGAGAAAGGACACATAGACACAGGGAGAGTCCCGCACAGGAACAGAGACAGGACACATAGACACAGGGAGAGTCCCGCACAGGAACAGAGAAAGGACACATAGACACAGGGAGAGTCCCGCACAGGAACAGAGAAAGGACACATAGACACAGGGAGAGTCCCGCACAGGAACAGAGACAGGACACATAGACACAGGGAGAGTCCCGCACAGGAACAGAGAAAGGACACATAGACACAGGGAGAGTCCCGCACAGGAACAGGGAAAGGACACATAGACACAGGGAGAGTCCCGCACAGGAACAGGGAAAGGACACATAGACACAGGGAGAGTCCCGCACAGGAACAGAGACAGGACACATAGACACAGGGAGAGTCCCGCACAGGAACAGGAAAGGACACATAGACACAGGGAGAGTCCCGCACAGGAACAGAGACAGGACACATAGACACAGGGAGAGTCCCGCACAGGAACAGGGAAAGGACACATAGACACAGGGAGAGTCCCGCACAGGAACAGAGAAAGGACACATAGACACAGGGAGAGTCCCGCACAGGAACAGGAAAGGACACATAGACACAGGGAGAGTCCCGCACAGGAACAGAGAAAGGACACATAGACACAGGGAGAGTCCCACACAGGAACAGAGACAGGACACATAGACACAGGGAGAGTCCCGCACAGGAACAGGGAAAGGACACATAGACACAGGGAGAGTCCCGCACAGGAACAGGAAAGGACACATAGACACAGGGAGAGTCCCGCACAGGAACAGGGACAGGACACATAGACACAGGGAGAGTCCCGCACAGGAACAGGGAAAGGACACATAGACACAGGGAGAGTCCCGCACAGGAACAGGAAAGGACACATAGACACAGGGAGAGTCCCGCACAGGAACAGAGAAAGGACACATAGACACAGGGAGAGTCCCGCACAGGAACAGAGACAGGACACATAGACACAGGGAGAGTCCCGCACAGGAACAGGAAAGGACACATAGACACAGGGAGAGTTCAGGTCCATTGCTGGGTAAGAACAATTGAGGAAATCGATCAGGTGATGACAGGGATAGATATAGAGCAGACTTGTAGCAAATATCTGTCCCTAGACCGCAAGGCCTCACAGGCCGCCCATTACAGGGCACCCTCCCCGTGTGGGGAGTCCGAACCTGCTTGTAGGAAACTTTCCACACTTTTGCTTAAATCTTCTGGCTCTCAGAGCTCATTCTTCAGCGTCGAGAGACACCACCCCAGGAAAAGCCCTCAGCTCACCGCTCAGGTTATCAGAGAGGCGAGGGGCGGCATGAGGAGAAGCCTGCACCCCCTCTCTGCTCTCTGGGCGCCTTTGAGCTTCGAGAAGTCCCAGTACCTCGCCTTTTGCAGCCCCTTCTCGACGATGTCACAGGATGTGGTCGTGATGTGTTGCTTGTCACGGTGGCCCTTCTCGCTTCTGTTCCTCCTGCCTTTCTCGCTGCCTTTTCCTTCATCCACCATCAAGACCCACCCTGTGCTCGCAGGGCCCCGAAGTCTCTCCAGAGAGCCCCCCAGCTGACGGGTGTTTCTCTCCGCGTCCCTGCAGAGGGAGCATCTCCATCCACCTGGAGTTACTGGGCACCCCGAGGAGGCAGGCGCTGTCCAGCAGGCAGCTCGCTGAATCTCAAACAACCTTATCCAGTAGGCCTGTCACCGTCTCCATTCCACAGTGAAGAACGCGAGGCACCGAGCAGGGGAGACCGCACCCGGCCCAGGCCACACTGACACATGCCCATGGCCACCTGGTGCCGGCTGTTAGCACACGCGATTGTTGAAAACACTGCATTGACTGACAGGAGACGACAGGGGCGTGTGATGCTGCCTCGCCGCCACTCGTTTTCCTGGGACACTGTCACACGTGGGTTCCAGAGGCGCATCCGTCCTGTGGAGCAAGAACGGCTGCCCGCATTTCAGGCCTGCTGACGGCCTGCAGGCCAGCAGCCGGGTCCCGGTGCCTCAGGCTTCCTGTTACAGCGACAGGCCGTAGCGACAGGGACTTCGTTGTAGCCACGCACATGCTGACAGCTCACAGCTACTGAAATAGAGTAGCAAGGCCCTTCAGCCAGGCTGCTGACAGAGGTCACTGCCCGTCTGTCGGGGCACCGGCCTCGTGTGGTTAGAGTCGCTCAGAGTGTCCGACTGGCTACCCTGCCTCGTGAGTCCTGAGAACAGGGGACAGGCAGGTGTGGAAGAAAAAGTGCTGGAGAGGAGGGGGCAGCATGGGGCCAGAGGCAGGATGTCAGAATTGCTAATGGCACGAGGTTCAACACACTGCCTGTTACTCAGAATGGGCCAGAACTCGAGTTTTGGGGAATGATCACTCCCTGAAAGCGATGGTGTCCATGAGCTCTATTCCAGCTGGAGGCCCACGCCTGATCCGAGCCAGGCCTCCCGGAACCACCAGCACCTGAAGGAGGCCAGGCCCGGAGGCCCAGGAACCACCCATGGCCACCCCGCTCTGCGGGCAGCAAGGCTGTGCCCAGTGCCCAGCACCCAGCACTGGGTCCTCGGGCAAGGGCAAGCTGGGGAAACCCTCCCCCTTTCTCTACCACATCACCACAGCCCCCAGCCTGTCCTTCCAAGCCCTTTACCATGCTGCCCACAAGTTCTCCAAGTTCCTTCCTCCCCCCCCGACCCTGGCCACAGAGGGTGAGCCTGGCTCTCCTAGGGCCTGCCCAGCCCCCACCAATCCTCAGGAGCACTCAGGGCTCTGCACCACCTGAGTACCCGCCCCCCCTCCCCTCCATCCCACACCCACCTCCACCAGCTGGAAAGCCTCACTCAGCTGCCTGGGACAGGTCCCCCAGCCCCTAGGAGACACCCACACCTTCTCCGTCCTCCCGTCCCCACTTTCAGGTGCAGCAGCACAGAAGCCCCGTTCCCTGCCCCCACCACCTCTGCTCCCGCCCGCCCCTGTCCCTTGCTCTGTCCCTCCCCCAGAGTAGAAGTGGAAAGTCACTGAGACTCTGGTGGCCCTTTTTAGGGACATCGAGGAGATGCCCCGTGGGAACCACCCCTAAGGTGACCACAGGAGAGGGACACAGGTGATCTTTCTTTCACTCCCGACACACTCCACGGTGAGACGGGAAAGAACTGGCTGGTGGGACCCTGTGCACCTGGAAGCTGTGCGTGCTCAGAACCTCACCAGGTTTCCAGTGGAAACTCCGGACGCACCAAATTCCCGAGAGCTGCCAGGCGTCTTGTCTGGGAGCTGAATGTGCAGGTCCGTCTGGTCAGAGACTCAGACGTGCACCCTCCTCCACAGAGAGGCTGCTCCTTCCCTCGCTAGTGCCGGCTGCCAACCCCACCTCCCCCCACGGTCTGTCACAGCGGGGCGAGCCACGCCCTTCCCCTGGGCAGCTCTGGGTGCTCAGGCCAGGCTGGGAGGTCACAGCGTGTGTGAGAAATGGCAGCCTCAGCGGGCTCCGTGCCTCCCAGCATGAGGGCTCTGAGCTCAGAGCAGCTGGGCTGCTTCCCAGCGAGGCTGCTGGGTGGACTCGGGCTTTGCATCTGCCTCTCAGCTCTTGTTCCAAGAGGGTTTGACAGGCACACTCACTCTGAAGGTCAAATTGCAAAGGTTTGCTGTCACGGAATGCCATTTGCTCCTTACCACTCAGTGCAATGACAAGCTCTTACAACCCCTGACAGGGCCGATGCAGGTGACTGGCCCTCCGTTGCTTCAGATTTCAGCTCAGAACTGACCTCTGAGGGTTGGCAACGAGCCTTTGCAATCACACGGTGCTCCGTGTCACCCAGAGCCAGGGCGGTGGGCGGTGCTGGCGCGCCCTCTGGTGTCCGCCGCTGGGACAGGCGGCCTGCAAGCCTCCAGACACAGCCGCCCCTCCCTGGAAACCTAAGGAGTCAGAGTACAGGGAGGAGAGAGCAGGGAGGACCCACCATGGGGAGAGGTCGCATCTCAGCACTGGCGCTTTCCTTCCTCCTTTCCACTTCCCGCCACCCCAACAGCTCAGTTTACATCAGTGGTTCTCAACCTTCCTAATGCCGCGGCCCTTTAATACAGTTCCTCATGTTGTGGTGACCCCAACCATAAAATTATTTTCGTTGCTACTTCATAACTGTATTTTGCTACTGTTATGAATCGTCATGTAAATATCTGATATGCAGGATGTATTTTCATTGTTACCAATTGAACATAATTAAAGCATAGTGATTAATCACAAAAACAATATGTAATTATATATGTGTTTTCCGTTGGTCTTAGGCGACTCCTGTGAAAGGGTCGTTGGACTCCAAAGGGGTCGTGACCCACAGGTTGAGAACCGCTGGTTTACATCCTCCCTTTGGGGGGCAGGAAACTGGGGGGTCAGAGGTGAGGAAATACACTGAGGTTCGAACGGTTAACAAATGAGAACCCAGGACTTCAATCCCGGCCTCCAGCTCCTCAGCTCAGGGCTTTAACGCCTCTGGAACCGATGGGTGGAGGGGGCAGGCGTGAGCGGGTGGAGGGCAGAGTGCAGAGGGCCTTCCCGTGTGCTTACTGATGAAGGCAGCAGCACGCCTCCCGGTGAGCTGTGAACTCAGTGCCTGACCCGCCGTGTTTCTTTTTTTCTTTTTTAACATGTTTTATTGATTTTTAGAGAGAGGGGAAAGGAGGGGAAGAGAGAGAGAGAGAGTGAAACATCAATGTGAGAAACACCGACTGTCTGGCTCATCACACAACCCGTGGCATGTGCCTAGCCGGGGCCAGGCATCGCACCTGCAGCCTCTGAGAGCACAGGACGCTGCTCCCCCACCTGACGTGTGTTTCCATCGTCACTCCTGGACTGGCGTGGGGTGGGGAGGGGGGACCCCACTCCCTGCTGCACTTCCCTCAGCTGCTTCGGTTCACACAGGAGCCACCAGTGCCCTTAATGAAGACCTCACGCCTGGCCGGCTGACTTGCCACTGGCCCTGCCTCTGGCAATGGGCTCTTCTCTTCTCGCAAGGTCTTCATTTCTTCCTCATTGTCGGGATGTATTTGCTTCATTTGTCTTGTGAGGAAACATTTTAGGAAAGTAATCTCCAATCTTGGGCTGCAGTTAATTTAAAAGCTCCTCCTGGTTTATTAACGACATCATTTGTAACTTCAGTCATCCCCGCTCAGGCCAGCACGCGGGAGAGCACGCGCACACACACACACATCACTCAAGTCCCCCCTTGCTCTCTGCCTTCTGGTTAAAGACAATTCTTTCATCGCTGTCACTGTAACATCAGTTGACTTGAACAGCTCACCTGATAAACATCAGGATTCAAAACAGCAGGTGGTGGGCATGTCCATGTCCGTGAACTCCAGGCTGCACTGACTTTCGGCTCACAGGTGCTGGGAGACCCTCCCCCTGGCCCCAGCGGCTGCTGCCCCACCTCCTCCTGTCCACCTTCCCCAGGAGCTCCCAGCAGGTGTGTGACCAGAAATGCTCAGCCCAGCCCTAGCTAGTGCTCAGTGGTTAGAGCATCGGCCTGCAGACTGAGGGTCCCAGGTTCGATTCCAGTCAAGGGCATGTACCTTGGTTGCAGACTCGATCCTAGCCCCGGGGCACGTGCAGCAGTCAACCAATCGATGTATCTCTCTCACATCAATGTTTCTCTCTCTGTCTCTCCCCCTCCCTTCCCTTTCTCTTGAAATAAAATCAATGGAAAAGATATCCTCTGGTGAGGATTTTTTAATTTTAAAAATAAGGAAATACTCAGCCCCATTCTCCGCTGCTGTGTCTGGTCCCTCTTGTACCCCCTGAATACTAACCACAGGGCTGGGGCTCAAGCCCGCAAACACTGGCTGGAAATTAACTCTATGGCACTTAGCATGAAACGCTCATTTGTGTTATTAGCCAACATCCACAGAGTGTCCCCTAGGACTAGAACAACACTCTGGTCCCTCTCTGGTGCCGACTCCCAATCAGGGCCACAGCCTCCTTCAGATGATCCCGAGGCTGATCTGGGCTCAGCAATTACCCAGAACTCCCCGGTCCAGGCTAAGCCGAGAGGGAAGGTGGTCCGTCACGTGTTGTCAGTCAGAGATAGATGCAATCAGGGGTGTGCAGTAGGTGGGGTGGGGCCTGAGAGGGTTATTTTAAGGAACTGGCTCACGTGCGTGTGAGGACTGGCCAGTCTGAACCGTGAGGGTTGGGGGCGGTCGGAAACGCAGGAAGAGTTGATGTTTGGGTCTTGCGTGTGAAATCTGCATGGGAGGCTGGCAGGCTGGAGACTCAGGTGCATTCCATGTCAGTCTTGAGGCAGAATTCCTTTTCCCTCTTAAAAGTCTTCAACTGATTGGCTGAGGCCCAGCCACGTGCTCTCCTTCACTTAAAGTCAACGGGTGGCAGACGTTAACCACCTCCACAGAATACCTTCACCCTGACATCCTGGTGAGTGTCTGACCAAGTGCCTGGGCACCATCGCCGGGCCACAGGGACACGTGGACTCTGCCAGCACAGGTACCAGGGATGCTCCCCCGTTTTAGAAAG